AGGAAAGGTTGTGGGATTTGGAAATATGGTGAAACAAAATTTTCTTGATGATAAAATTGTGGTGGAACCATTAAATTTTAAGGTTGATAACAATGTTGTACATTATGAGCACTATAAACTGGGGTTGAAGAACTTAGTTGATTATTACCCGCTACTGACCCAACTTCACTACTTCTAGGTTCAACAACATACAATATAACATCATCTTCTTGTGAAACACTAATGTAAGCAATGAATCGTTCAACATCTTCAATGTTGGTTAACAAATAAACTTTACATTTTCTCTGATAAGATAGCCTAAATCCACTTAGGGGCTCTAAATTCAATTTCTTTGCAACACGTAACATTAGAGTTTCATAAGTTAACTTTTTTAATGACAGTTTTAGTTGAAGATTCATGGGTAAAGATATATATTGTAAAACACTATGAACATTCTCCCATGACCCTCCAAAACACAAATCTATCCAAACATGATCAACATTAGATGATTTCATTCTACAAATTGTAAATTAATTTACTAAACAAATGAGCTATAAACTAGATATCATCACTAACTTAGAGAAAAACATACCTTTATTAAGTTGATAATTGATAATTTGGGGAGAAATCATTGAAAAATTATATAGAAATAAAATTATGTAAAAAAAAATTAGAGATGGGGAAGGATGTTGTTGGATATAGGAACGGATGCCACCAGAGAGAGTGATAGATGTAGATGGAATGAGTTGCGATTTAGGGATTTAGATTATGAGTTGATGCTGTTGCGTAGTTTATATACCCAAAACATTTGTGTTGCGAAAACAAAATTCGTGTTGCGATTTAGAAAATCTTGTTGCGAAAAGGAAACTTGTGTTGCGAAAAGGAAATTCACGTTGCGAATTTAGAAATCGAGTTGCGAATTTGAAACTCCGTGTTGCAAATTTGGAAATCGCATTGCGAATTTGGAAAATTGCGTTGCGAGAAAGAAATTCGCGTTGCGATTACAGAAACTGAGTTGCGAATTTGGAAACTGTGTTGCAAAATTGGAGTTCGCGTTGCGAATTTGTTGGTCATTTTCGCAAATCCAAAAAAAGTTGGCTAAAATCGTATATTATAAGGCATTTTCGGTCACTGAAGTTATTTTCTCAATATAAAATTTAAGTTATATTTACACTTATGGAGAGTTGTTCAAAAAGAATCATTGGAAAAATGGGTCTCCAAGAGTTTTTAATATTTCATTTTTGATCTATTACCGGTGAGTTACACCGCCAGTTTCACCAACTTCAATACCTTGTTTTGAGTCGACCGGTGTGGTCACTTTCGTCACCATCTTCGCGGTGGAAGAGATCATAGTGTGATATGTTCAGCCATCGAAGAAGCTTATTTTCATCATTTTTCATCGTTCTTCATCGCGAACCAAGGATAGTAAGAGGTTTAGAATCATAAGATCTTGAAATCTGGAATATTTCATTGAAGTCAAACAACTAGCGTCGCACATTCCCTAGTTGTCGCTCCTTACGTATGAGGGTTGTTTTTGTCTAGAGGGTTCTAGAGAACCGGTCGAGCCAGTCTGGATCGGTTGTACCGAGTCGAGCCATCGTTTGAGCGGAGCTATCGTCTGACCCAAGCCATTGTCAGAATCGAGCCATCGTCCGAGCTGAGCCATCGTCCGAACCAAGCCACTGTTTGAGCGACCGTTTAATGTGTCGTTTCACCAAATTCAAACTTGGTAGACTATTTTTTTAGCAATTTTATATTTCGATTCGATCCAACTTTCGCATTTAAGTAATTCTGATGTAAGGTTCTTAAATACCTTTTTGATGCACCCAAAATCCTAAATGGTTCTTAAGCATCAATTTCTGAATATTTGCTTAGATCCGTTAATAATCAAACTCTTTTAGCAGGAATCTCATTTTTGAAATTTGATCAACTTGTAGAAGTTTGTGTTTCCCTTCCTGATAATCATCGAGTGCCTCCATAAAGATATTTAAATCCTCTAGTGTGTTCATTATGCATATAATTATTTTCTCTGATTTTAAAAGCATGACTTTGATATTTGAAATAAAAACATGGTTTTTTATCATTGGCTTTTTATCTTTGGTTTCTGATACTAGATATACCTGGCTTTTGATTTTGATATTACTGTTTATTGTTTAACCTATTTTATACTAAGGTACTCTCTAGGATATGTTAAGGAGTTTTACAGGTTCAAATCCAATCAAGCTGGCAATTCCTTATGGACCTAAGGTGACCCTTGGGTAGGCTCCTCGACCCAAATAATACTAGTGGTAAGACCTTATGCTTTGTGCTTAGGGTAAGTTCTTATGGACCTGAGGGCACTCCCCTCATGTGGCTCCTACGCCCAATGGGCCTAGGGTAAGTCCTTATGGATGCAACTACTTCTAATGTTTTTAAACTATGTTTAAATTTATTTTATGGTTTTGTAGGAACACACTAAACATCTGTTCTTAATCTCCTGAATCTATTTCTCTTAATGTTACCTATGAAATATAGGTTTAATGACTGTTACATGAAGATTTAATTAATGAACCTCAACTCACCATTGAAACTTAAATATGATTGGATAAATAAGAAAATTCCATGATTTGTCATATATCTACATGTCCTTTAGCATCACCGGTAGTTTTGTATCACTAAGTTTTCCCAGAGCTCACTTTGTTACTCACCATTTCAAGTTAAAGAAATTGATCCTGTGCAATATCAACATCAACGTGGGAGTTCCTTCGGTGTTGTTTGTGGTGTACGATACATGTGTAATAAGGGGACATGTAGATCACTTCTTTTTTTTATATTAGTGTATGAAACTTATTTTGATATTTATGTATTACTGAATTCTGTTTCAATACTCGAGTGTTTTATCTGAAATTGTGTTTTTATTTATAAATTATTTTACTATTTGAAATAATTTAACAAAATTTTATTTTTTTTTTCGAATTTTTACTATAGGTCGCTCCGGTGGCCCTAATGTGACACCTAAGATCAGATCATGTCACCTGTATCAGTATAGGGGTGTTACAATAAACTAGTCATTTGAGATCAAACAAGGATCAAATAAAAAATTTTAAAATTTTAATAAAAACTCGAATAAAGATTGATACAAATAGATTTAATTGCATCAATCAATGAACTACAAAATGGAATCAAAACAATTGAAAGACGACCGAAAAACTGTATATCATATTCGAACGACGTGAGAAGACTATTCACGAAATCAATTGCGTATCCAAATCCAATATGAGAGTCCAAAACAAGAAAGATCAGAGAGATAACAAATAAGAATCATCTTGATTAGTCTAGACGTCATCAAATCTAACATTGAGAAAAAAGATAAAACACAAAGAACAGTCAAACGACATATAAAAAAGACTGAAATCGTGCTAAAATGTAGATGAAAACGTGTTATTAAGGCATAAAAAACGTGTTGTAAATGTAAAAATATTAAAAACTAATAAGTAAAGATATATCAAACATGTAACATAAAAAATAAAAGAAAAATAATGATTACTAACTATCGATGATGAATATTAAAATTAATATCGTTGTTGGTCAAGTAAAAGTAAAAATAAAAAATCAAGCGGCGGAAAAAACCTAGAAAAAACTTATTATATTTTAAAAATCGAAAAACTGAGACTACTTCATATAAGTATATTATTATATTTTACAGTTTTCTATTTATTTATATTTTAACATGTGGGCATCCTAGTTTTACGATCGGATTAATACCGATTATCCTTTTATTTTATTTCTATTAAAAAACAATTTCATTCCATCAATTGCCCACTTTCGGCAGACCAATCGTCATGTTTACCAACGTGTTAGTGATTTTTGAGCAATGACAACGTGGCGACAGCACGCTTTTAGAATTTATATCTATACCCACATTTTTTTTGGGATAATTTATCTATACCCACATTAGCAAAGCCAGCGATGAAGATTTTATAATTCACTTATTAAAATTGACTAGGAGCGTGCATTTATTTTTATTAAAAGGTAAATTATATATATAGTATTGAATTTTAGCTGTTATGTTATTTATAATATTAAATTTTAAGTAGTGTACTATCTATATCTTTAAATATTTAATTTATGTAATTATAATATTAAATCTTAATTTTAATTTCAATTATACTATTATGATATCAAAATTTAAATGATACGATGACATGGACAAAATAATATCGTTTTAACGATGACGATTAATGTCCATAATAACTTATATCAGTTTTGTCTTAAATTTTTAAATAATTCTATTTTTAACATTACACTTTTATTATTATTATTGATAATTAATTATCGCTCGTCATTGATCATCTTTCACGATAAAATTATTATCAAATCATTCATACTCTACTCTTACTTCTATTCATAATATACAAATTAAGTACAAAAAGATGGAAATAGAAATTAAAAAAACCGTTATTCAAATAATTAAGATTCAAGTTAAGAAAGTGATCATGAATCTTAAGTAATTGATTAATAAATTTTTTTATTACTTTTCAATTTCATCTCTTATACCGAAAAAAATCTTAGTGTATCATCACGCACGTATGCTAATTATTTAAAAATGCATAGTTGGATACGAATTAAGTGATTTCGATTATAAATAAATTATTGTAATTTTTGGGTTTTGGGTTCGAGCATCAAGAATGTTAGAATTATGAGCGTTCAAAGTCAAATGATTAATAATTATATTTGAATATATATTACTTGTACTTAACCCAAATTAATTAAAAAATATAATTGATTATTAAATCATATATATTTTTATAATAACTAATTTTTTATTACATCTTATATTTTTTACAAATGATTGTGTTTATTAATTTGTAACTAATTATTATTTTTCAAAAGTAATAATTAGTTTTTTACATTATTTTTTTCCACCTAGATAACGTACGGTTGGGCCGGACTCAGCTTGAAAGCCCGGCTGAAAGGAATATATAATCAGCAGCAGCAACTGGGATTGGGTTCAATATGAAACCGGTTCAATCTCATCCCACTCCTCTCTACCTGTCTACCGGCCATCAGTTATTTCAAATTGAACTTACCCCAACTATTAAAATACAGAAAACTCAGAGCAAAAGCGGTGCTTTGAAATATAAATAAAAATCCCAAAAGCCGGTTCCCAAAGCCAACTTCGATCATACCATGGACGATAGTTTTAAACTTCGAGTGCAAAAGGTCTTCGGATCTCTCCAATCATCGCATTCCTCACCTCAGCAGCAGCAGCGGCCGCCTCTTTGGTCTCTCTCGGACGACGAGGTCGAGAGGAGGGAATGGAGGAGAGAATCCGCCGTCGATCGGGAGGATACGTTGTGTTCGTCGTCGTTTGATGAGTTCTTGAAGAAGGAAAGAAAGTATAGGAGTGGGAGGCGTAAAGAACCGGAGGATGTTCTCGATAACGATGATGACGACGGCGACGACGATGCTAGAGGTTCGAGTCAGCCGCGTAGTAGAAAAATCGAAAATCATGGAGATGAGTTGGAGATCAGATCTTGTATTGGAATGGATTCCACTCTCGACAATGAGGTATATCAAAATTCGTTTCGTTTTCTAAACTGTATAAAATTCTTTAATTATTCTTTGATTTTGTATTTAACCGTTTGCAATTTTGCATCTGTTTGGTTGTTGATTCTGGTCTTGTATGAAAATTTTCTTGTTATTTAGGTTAAGATTTTTTTATTATCGAGGCGGCTAACTTTATTTTTTAAGCAGATACGTTAGATGGGTGGCCTTGGAAGCTTTTCTGTCTAGAGAAGAGGATTATGCGAACGTTTATTAATGATTACGCTTTTGAAATTAAGATTACATTGCATTTAACGTGAATCAAATATGAATTTGTTGTAAGATATTTGCAAATTGAGAAGCTTCCACTTATGTTCGGAAAAGGTGTAATTAATCAAGGGTGATAGGAATGAATCAGGTTAATTATGGTAGAAGAAAATTTTATGTAGAGATGATTGAAAACCTGCAGCCTTTACCATTTTATATGGATAGCTTCGTTAGGCACATCTGAAGTACTTTGCAAAGATGGTTTGAAACATAGTATCATGCGTTTACTGTGTTGAATTAGCTAAAATACATTGTGACTATGGCTAACTTCAATGGTTCTCACATGAATTGATTTATTTATTTGTTTTTCGCTCTACCTTATATCCATGACAATAAAAGTAATGGTACATGTTTAGTATAGGAGAGATATTGTTTCTCACATGTTTAGTGCACTTGTCAAGAATTTGATGAATATCATGTGTCCAGCGTGCCTGTGAGTTTTCATTTTTGTGTTCAGAACACACCCCACCTGTTCCTTTTCACCTCCAATCTTTTTGCAGTTGAGCTGATCTTTGTTTACTGTGTGTCACAGGAAGAGGAAGATGAATATGACAAAGTGGCTTCAGGCAGGGAAAATGCAGGTGAACGCCTTTATATGAGTGACGTTGCTGATCATGGGTCTTTTTTGAATTCTCATAATATCCTTCAAAGAACATTCAACTATACCAGTAGCAAGGATCATCGTGCAAATCATATGGCAGCAAGAGTCAGGCTGAAAGAAGATGATGAAGAAGCTCAGAAGGTTAATGATTGCGGTATGTCAAATTCAGAAATTAGAGAATTATCAGTCGTGAAGTCATCCAATAATGGTTGCCAGTTGAGGTCTATATTAAAAAGAAAGAACACCGGTACAGATTCCACGCCACAAAAGCACGAGAGGTTTGACTGTGCTTTTAAAAATGATTTTGAAGAGCAGTTTGAAAAGTCTGAGGATTGTCATTCTGAAGACTCGGAAGATGTATCTATACAGGCTGAAAATGACAGAGCACTTCCAGATTATTTACGAAATCCTTCTAGATATACATGCTATAGTTTTGATTCATCAAGTGAGGTTGGTGAAGACTCTAATGCTCAATCTTCAGAGGATGTTCTTAAGCTTCTTCCAAATTCAAAATCTACAGAATCATTTTCAAAGCACGAGGAAGCACCTCGATATCTTCCAAAGTCGGTGACGTTTATCCCAAAGAGAAAACCTGGCAACCGTCAACTGGGAAGCGGTATCAGTGCGTTCAAGGGAAGGAAGATGAATGTAAGCAGTATCAGTGACGTTGAGGACAGTGACGTTGAGGACAGTGAAGATGACGCAACAGAAGATGCTACACCAGAAACAAGTGCAGCAAATGATACTCCAGTTATACAAAAAGGTGGCCGCAGCTATAGAGTAAAATCACAGCCAGATGACTTTGACCTAGAGGGCTGAAGAGAACAACTTTCAATCATTTAAAGGTTTTCTACTAAGATATCTTGGAGTGGTTTTAAGTTTATACTGTTTTTCCTAAGTTCCTGTTTTTGCACCACCATAACCGCTATGTTAATTCAGCCTATTAGAATGATGGAGCGTTAAGCATGCATGCCTTAAACGAATGGGTTTTTTAATAACGTATGCATAGCTACACATTTAAAGAAGTATATCCCATGCTTAGATATTCAACTTTTAACTGATTTGAATCGATCAAAAGAGTGTTATTCTTCTTAGAGGTCATGAGCTTGAACAACTACGTCTATGGCTGTGGGTGTGTGTTGTCAATGATTAAGAAAATATTCTGAATATATATTATCTTATAATCACTTTAGATTATTAAAAAAACTTTTAACTGTTTAATTTTTTTGAATTTATTTTTATTGAGTAATAGAAGATAAAACACATATACATACATTGCCATGTCTGTCTGTCTAATCTTTATTGAAGGCAAGACTAGTGAATGGAGTGAAGTCGTAACAAGGTAGCTATTTTGGAAGGTAGGGCTGAGCAACGAAACCGAGAAAATCGAAAAACCGATACGAACCGAGTAAAACGGTTCGGTTCGGTTTGACCTTATACGGTTTGGTTTTCAGGTTGGTTTAAAGTCTCAATTCTATTGATTCGGTTCCGTTCTGGTTTTCCATATAGAACTCATTTGTTTCATATTGAACCGAATATACAATTTTTTAAAAAAATTATAGTTTCAAGTGAATTTTTATTGAAAAATCGATAAATAGAACCGTTAAAAAAACTGAACCGAACCAAAAAAATCGGTTTCACCATATTAAACCGAATAGATAATTTTTTTTAAAAAAAAATTATAGTTTCAAGTGAAATTTTGTTGAAAAATAGATAAATCGAATCGTTAAAAAAAATGAACCGAACTGAAAAAATCGGTTTCACATAATTTGGTTTTTTAACTATTCGGTTTAAATTCTAAAAATCAGTTTATTTCGGTTCAGTTCAATTTTTAATAAAAAAATCAAACCGAACTGAATACACCTCTATTAAAAGGTGCGGTTGGATTACCTCCTTTTTAGAAAGAGTTGATGCTTGTTGGGTATTTTGGTTTGACACCATTTCACACCCAAAAAGAAGCGAGCTACTTACTGTATGTGTTTCTTCTTGGACATTATTAGCATAATTTTTTTTCTCCTTTACCTGATTTTTCAAACTTTTATCGTTTGAATATCAGATAAGTAAAATATATTTTTTATTATTCTTCATTTCGAACTCTTTTAATAAAGAGTTGTTTTATGTGTGAATATAATAATATTACGGTGACTATTCACTTATTTTAGACAAAGATGTTTCTCCGTTTCTCTTCTAAAAGGAAGCCTACCTCATTTGCAAGACACTGCTTTTACACTCTCTTCTACTTGTAGCAGCCTTTTATTTTCACGATTTCTTCTATTTAAACTGTACCTTTTTTCTACTCTAGAAGAGAACAGTCATCGTGAATTTCATCTTCTTAGCTTAGATGTGTATTATTGGGATGATATCCATTTTCGATTACATCGATCAGCACAAATCATTTATAATACAATGATTTTTAACGACAAAATATTTATTTTATTTAATATTATTTTATCATATCGTTTATTCTTGTCAGAGCAGTAGTATTCATTCAGATCCAGAGTCTAAAAAACTCACAAACACAGAGAGAACCACAGTTGATACGAACAAAGAATACATAAATAAATACGAATCTCTAAAAAGAACCGCACCCCGAAGACAGTGAAATACGTGCATCGCGAACACCCGAAAAGAACCAAAGCAATTCGCTGAGCTGTTTATTTTTCATGGCTGTCACCATCTAAGTCGTAGATATCAAGAACTGGTGAGAAAATGATGATTTATTTATTAATTAAAAAAGGAGTTATTAAAGTTTCATTTGTTTCATAAAGGAATTATCCCATTTGCGGAAAATTGTAGGGTATGCTCCTTAATTAAGCTTTGAGCCTTTGCTTCTCCTTTTTATTTACCTCCTGTCCCGGTTGGGTTGCTACATGAGCAATAAATCAGTAAAAACCATTTTTCGAATATTAAGAAAGATTCTAAAAGTTTATGTGCAAACTGTACACGATACAACAAAAGAGAATAATTCCTTGTCCAATATTTTTATGAGACTATTTCTTATGGGAAGGAATATGGTTTGATGCCGTTAGTGGAACTCATAACATGACTCCTCAAAATGCACAAAATCAATAGTTTAGGGCCAACACAGTTTCTTAAAGAAAAGCACATGAGATAAGTGTCTCTTTCTTGAAACTGAAGATTGCTAATATTATTCGCAAGCAAGAATTTGTGGCATTTGTACTGTTCTTGATCACATGATAGATGTATGAGTTGTAAATGAGACGAGATAAATCACACGTTATTTGAGTTTAAATCTAATGTGATTCTGCCGAGCACTAAATTCAAATTGAACAAGCTCACAACTTTGAAGTTCTTCCAAACTTATTCTGAGGGAGTTCTTCCTTACTTCATTGCTTACTCATTTATGCATTATGTGTGACATAATTAACTTGCATACTTTATGATATTCACGTATATTACATCTTTACTTAGCTTATGCCATGGTTATGTTAGCTCATTCATTCATAGCTCAATTCATGCATAAACATTATAAGCTTAGCTCATTTTATGCGTATGCCAGGTTTATGCATCATTCTTTAGCTCATTCTATGTAAATGCATTCATCCTTAGCTTATCTTAGCTCATTTGCATATATTAGTTAGGCAGCAGCATGCATAATTATTATTTTGAACTCAATATCTGTTTAATTACTTGTTTACCTGCTTTGTTTAGGTGCATTGGATTCTAAGACAACTCATGGATTGAAAATACAAGCTCTGGCAGCTCATATTAGCTCATGAAAGTGTCATGCTACCTCACTTAGCTTAAGAGAGCTTAATGGAGCTCAAAGATTAGTTGAATAAGCTGAAGGGGAGCTGAACTTAACTGGAGAGTAGCTAGAAAGACTAAAGGGAGCTGAACACATTTAAGTTGCACAATTTCACATTAATTTAGGGGACAGTTAACGTCAATCTAGATTACTAGACATTTTTAGCTGGTTCCAAGAATCTTTAGGTTATAAAGTCTTATTGACTTTTAATCCCCTATATCTTATATTTCCAACACACTTTGAATCACATCGACCTGACATCAAGATCTCGAGATATGTCCAAATTACCAAAGGCATTGTAGGCTAGAAACTCATACGAGATTTACATCAATTCATCACCTTTGGACGTGAGGAACTAAAGAACATTAAAAAAGACTAATGTGAACATATTAAAAGGGCAACAACCAAGTGAAGAGCACCATTCATCCATACAAAGAGTCCATACATTCAAAACAATGCATTCGACCATATATATTCATATAAGGCAACTGAGGAGTCATGTTCACACCTTAAGGGGAAATGAATGCCAACCTTCATGAAACCATTAATGTAATTGGAATGTATATTCAAAGAACAAAAGGAACATGAATCAAATCATGAAAACGCGTGGAACCAATTGCATGAAGTGAGCAGAAGAGTCATGTTCACGCATGGAAGCCAAGTGCATGTAAGGATTCAATTCATTAAGGGAACCGAACCAACATGCTCACACAAGGGGGAAGCATTCGGCCTAAAGAAAATCCATTTCATTTAAGGATGAAAATTCACTCATTCAAGGTTTTATCTTTGTTTACACTAGGCATGCATTGTGTCTACATAAAGGATGACCATTCATCCATGAATGTTTATTCTTTATGGCTTTATGAACACACCAAATGTGCAATGTGTTCTGGGCACCTAAGGCTTATAAATAGCCTTAGGATTTCATTTTGTACAGATAGAACTTTCAACTTCGATTTATGAAATATTTGTGAGATTTTCTCTCTTTAGATGGTGTCACCCCCATCTATTTCCACCCTGATACTTGTGGTTCCTATCTCCATTAAGATAGTGAGTGCAAGTCCGTTTATACCACCCCTTAAAGAAACATATAAAGTCTGGTCTTTGTTCTTTAACATTGGTTCTTCTTTGAGTCTTCTTTGAGATACTACTTTCAAAACATCATCAACATCACAATCATACTTCTTTATCTATACCTTCCGCAACTAACTCTATTTATCCATTACTTTGTTTCTATTAACAATTCTATTTCAGCTTTATTTTTTGTGAAGGATCCTTGTTGCTTTCTTAGATTGAAACAATCAAAGGGTAACCTTATCTCCAACAACATCATTTGTTAGAGCTAGGGTGACTTTTATCATGCGGTAATCAGAACTAAGGTGGATTGCAACAGGAACAAGCAAAAGAAACATGCATCTATTCAACAAAAGAAAACATAAAAAAAGAATCAAAAGAATAAAAAACAATTAGCAAAGTTTCATTCATCAAAGGGAATTCTAAGTGAAGAAAAATAAAGGAAACAAAGAAAGCAAGTGCAAAGAAGTGTCAAATCATTCCAAGAAAGCCTGAAGAAGCCTTAAAAACCTTTGATTGTTTCTTTTAGGAAATAGTGAGAATCTTTTCTAAGTAATTGATCATTTTTTTCTTTTCTAAGCCCATCTTTCATCATTTTTTCTTTCTACTTCCTCTACACTAACAAACGTTTCAACCGACGTCCATAACACTTGAAAAGTCTCGAGTTAGTTTTTTAAGAACTTTACAAGAAATGAACGAGTGTACAAAGGCAAATGAGTGAGAGAGATCAGAAGGGGAATCACAAAAGCCTATTCATATTCCCGAGTGCAAACACGAGCGTCCGAGTGTCATCAATTTTTTTTGGAGTGATCGTGAGGTTTTGATTGTGTGAATTTGGTAAGGTCCTATTTTCATATTTTAATTCCTTTTAATCATTAATCATGTCACTTGATGTTTTATATTCTCAGTCAATGAAGTACGAGCAACAAAGGGAAAATGCATTTCACACTAGAGGCCATGTAGATGGTAAAGTTTTCCATATGATCATTGAAAGTGGAAGTTGCACCAACCTTGCAAGTACACTTATGGTGCACAAATTGGGCTTAAAGACAATGCAACATCCAGATACATATGAATTACAATGGCTTAATGACGATGAGATTGTTATTAC